TAGTAGATACAATGAATACAACATGAGAATATACATTGTATTACAGAAAACATTGCAACACATGACATCATTATTATTTGTATAATAACCAAGTACATGTACACCAATTTTGGCATCATCAGATAAATGAAATGAACAGAAGTCACATAACAACTGACAATTTGTACCAAAGTAATTGAGATACAAATAACAAATTGACAAAGTACAAAACAATGGCAAGGTGCAAAGAAATGAAAACCAATGCAAAATGTCACATGCAATCAATCTTACATTGCTCATAGCTCCACGAAAGTGAGTCTTGTATTTATTGCCACTTTTAAAATGCTTCCGTTCTTGTGAGTGAGTTGGGTTTAAGGTTCCTTTTTACAGTATTCCACTTGTATCACAGTCTTTCATGTGAATGTAGGAGCAGCTGTTCAATACCATGTAAACACATCATTTCAAATGAACTCTCAGCATCTCAAACTCAAAGTCTCTTGATTCCTTGTACACAGGATAGGTTCTAGCTAAGGCCAGACCAATTTTATTTCTTGTTTTACGGTTCCGCCTGTCGTAATTTTTCAAGATTAAGAAAAAAAATAAAATAATAATTTTCCCCGCTCAAAAAATATAATGCTAATGGGTTTATTGGCTAAAAATATAAACTTACAAGAAATTGTTTTTCAGATTGTTTTTTGCCCCATTTACACTTCATAAATTGCCAAAAGTAAAATACTTTTAGTATTTAGAAGGAATATTACTTTGATTGGTGATCTTATTTTATAATTTTTTCCCTCCTGCCTCTAGGTTTTCTGAGGACAAAAATCCGTAAAACAAGAACTAAAATTGGTCTGGCCTAAGGATAAAATGGCTCTTTGAGTGAGTGAGTGACTTGAGTTTTACGCTGCTTTTAGCAATATTCCAGCAATATCACGGCGGGGGACACAAGAAATGGTCACATATTGTACCCATGTGGGAAATTGAACCTGGCTCTTTGGCGTAAGGAGTGAATGCTTTAACCACTAGGTTACCCCTCCACCCCAGCTGAGAGATCCTTGCAAGCGCCAGCGAAACCTTCACTACTGTCTGACATACAGTGATATAACTAGAAGACTGTTCAGAGGTATTAAGCTCAACTCACACATCAGAATAAAATAATTGGACATTTCATCACAATATACTGAACCAAAAAACAAAGGCTCATAAACATTTTGGGGGATATTTTTCTACAGTTAAGACTGATCACACAATGTCAAAGAAATATCCACCAAAATATTCACAATCCCCCCAACGTTTTTGTTCAGTATTGATGGGCAAGCATTTCTAACACATAACTGCTAGACACAATACAAGGAGAGATCGGATTGGCTCACGTTCCCACAACATATGCCATATAGGAATCTGTGGTTCCATGTTACATAGGTCAAAGTCTACATGGCACGCCACAGAATGGAATAAACAGCAGGAGACAGTAGAACACACATGTGTTACATGTAATTGCATCATTACAATATTGCATATAAAGAATTCATAGTTTAACTTCAATGAAACAAACTCATTTTGCAAATGTTAATTCGCAATCTGTAAAGCATATCTTTCCTCTGATCAAAAGTTCTTTAACTACACAAATGTCACATAAACGTGATACAAATCAATACCACTCAAAAGATGCTAAGGAACACAACCGATTCATGCCTTGACAGATTAATCTTAGCAATATGAAAGAATCAGTTGATCCTTAACTTCTCTGAAGTAGTATATGACTTGGATAAGGATAAATGGTTATTATGTAAGAATGAGCACAATTATTCATAATCTGGGCAATATTAACTTTCGCCAGGAGTCACATAACATCAAAATGTTGTTGTATACTGTAGAATCTCAACAGGAACACATTACTGAGGCGAATTATTTAAAGTATCAGTACCTTTTAGCAGGGTAATTCAAAAACATCTGAATACTCCTGTTAACTCACTCTGCCATTCATTTTACACCTTGGATACTTGAAAAAGAACAATCTTTCAAGATTGACACGAAGAATTTGTTGACTATATGATACCTACATATTTCACTGGAACATTTATAAGACAATTACAGTGATAATCTAAAGAGCTGAGACATGATGGCATGGCGCCCTTCTTGCACATAGGTCAATCTTACTGCTATATCATCATCTTTGTTGGTTATTACATAGATGCATAACAGGAACTTGTAAAACAACTGAATAATGATCAAGTACTTGAATGTAAAATGTGTAGTTTACAACTATAAAGCCTTCATTCAACCATCTTATTTACAATTTACTGTACCGGTAGGTGTGATTCCGCAGCAGGTAATGCATTGTTTTGTATCCTGGAAACATTTAACACATCAGAAACAGTTTTCATTATTACATTGTTTAAACTCTATTTACACTGTACAGTAGTAGATATAAAATCCAAGATAAGTTTTCTTGGATTAAATTCACATTAAATCATTAAGGAAAATGATTTATAAATCTTCTTTGTATGAACCTACAACATAAGCCTCACTGAAAGAGAATCTTTAACACCAGCTATTAGGGGTGTCGCGATACGCAAATGTATCGATACATCGATACATTTTTACTGACGATACGATACGCGATACATGCTTGCGTGTATCGATTCCTATTTTAAAACTTTATCGATTCAAATTTTTATGCTATATCCATCTCCTTCAAAGTCTTGATAGTAAAATTATACGAGACCGCTCTGATAAATAGATGTAGCTCGCTTCACTTAAAAATCATCAGATCATGGGTTTTCGAACATCATACGTTTTTGGACGTCAGTGCCTACTCTGGCTTGAACATGGAGTGTTGCGTCACAGACACTGTAAATTCTGGAATAATGGAGTGTTTTGGATAAACTTATGGTTTAAAGTTAGTGAGATGTTTTATAGTCATTCATGTGATTAGAAAGATAACCATGAACATTTCTTACGTGTACGAAAACCCATAATACGAGGACACTTTATCAAGGGATGAGAACGGGCATGAGTGAAAAAAAGAGGAAAATGATCCCGGGTGTTGGGGGCCGCAAGTCCCCATGCCAGATCCACTGACCCCAGAGTGATCAAATCCACAGAAAATTCTCATCCCTGCTTTATTTCAGAAGTGACATCAACATTGATATCTCTCTTACCACTAACTGTAGCGAGTAATTTGACTGGATGTTTTTTAAGTGTTATTCACATGAAGTTCAAAATGATCTCATGGTTGTAGGTACGGCTCTAGGTATTTACTGAAATGGAGATACAACACTGTCTAATTGACTGACTGACGGACTGAGTTTAGTTTTACGCCGCTTTTAGCAATATTCCAGCAATATCCCGGCAGGGGACACCAGAAATGGGCTTAACACATTGTGCCCATGTGGGGAATCGAACCCGGGTCTTCGGCGTGACGAGCCAACGCTTTAACCACTAGGCTACCCCACCGCCCCTGTCTAATTGAGGGACACCCTAAGTTTACAATATCTAGCAGGTTACCCTTGGACTTTAATGTTTAATTTCAAACAATGCAAGTGGTAAACATGAAGACCATTTAAGACATACAGTATGATACATAGAACAATCCTACCTGCTAAATATCGACACATAATAGGAACACAACTATTTACACATTCATGACATGATTAATGGAACCGAACAATTGTTCTTGTGAGGAAAATATATATATCTAGGAAAACATATGTTCTTCTGTAACCATGGTAACAAAAATATCTAATACATCCCATTGAGTGGAAGTTTGAATTCTTCAACCCATTGCTGACAGGGTCAAGTATGTTACAGAGGTTGAAAGTGTTTGTCACATGCATATGAATACTTCTATCTATACATCGGATTACTCATACCGCTAGTTATCTACTTACAAATCTACTCTCAGTCTCTCCTAACTAATATTATACAAAAGTCTTTACACATATTGCTAAGAGATGTAATAGTCTCTAAGTAACCATGGCAACTTGTGTCGTAACTAGGTATTATGACAGCATATGTACATGCTCTAAACAAACTGTACGTTCTGTACATGTGCCGGTCGCATGTACCGCCATATAAATGTCAATTATGATGCTAAGGATAAGCTTATGCATAAGGAACAGATTTCTCTGTCTCGAACTGGTCTAGCAGAGATCATGGTAACAGGCTAAATCCAGACCTTTCAGATCATCAATGTATAGAGGACTATGTATTATCCACATGTCTTATGTAACTAAGGAAGCCATGTGAGATGATGCACACTTTTAAGTGATGGAACTCTGATGTTTGGAAAACAATAAGGGATTCACCTTTAAGAGGAGGCAATCTGGGATTTTGTATGGAGGCGGAATTGTTCAACAGTATTTTTAGAACATCCTGCATGTCACAGAAACGACCTTTTGGGGTAAAACTTGATGACAAATCGTACCTTTCTTCCTTGAATTAATTAAATGTCATAAGGAATACAAGTTTTCTTGTGAGCATCAGTTACCATATATTTTAACAAGATACAGTATGGACCATTGTACAAGAGTCACAATGCAAATTATGTTGCAAGTAATATTTGGAGTTTAATTTTATGCTGTTTTTAGCAATATTCCAGCAATATCATGGCAGGGGACACCAGAAATGGGCTTCGCACACTGTACCCACATGGGGAATCGAACCCGGGTGTTCAACGTGAAGAGTGCACTCTTTCACCACTAGGCTACCCCACTGACCCAGTAATATTTTGAACTGTTTCTGAGAGAAATCATCCATGTTCCATACTGCCTGCAGGGGTGGAAATGACCCATTGTCCGATGCCCGAGTCCAGTGGTTTTTTTTCTGTTGGGCAAGCAAATTTGTATATCACACTGTACTGGTGTCCAGTTGACTTTCCAATATTAATTATGTTGTTTATTTAAGAAATCAACAAGAAAACGGCCGGTATAGTGGAAAAATTATCAGCGCAAGTAATTTTACATGTGCCACTGTACCGGAGTACACTAGCAATTTAAAAGTTATTTCCACCCCTGGCCTGGCTGACAAAATGTTGTTGCTGTTAACCATTTGGTTTTAAACTTGATGGCTGCTTAATTGAGACTCATTCTACATCACGATGCAATTTTATTATGTTTTGTGAAAGGTCGGAAGGCAATTATAGCTGAAATAGGTATCACACAGTGCCATCGCCAAACATAAAAAAATATTCTTTTTTCTATTTCAAAATCAATACAAGATCAATTTATGAATCAAAATATGGATAGACATATCCTGGTGTCAGATGCAAAAACGTGATGAATCAGTACATGAATCACGACAACCTATATTTCATTCTCACATTACACCTCTTGGCAACAGTGGTTGCCCTGTTAGACCCTTGTAACCTTATACATGGGTTAATGGTAAACAAATCCACTTAGGTATGCTGAGTTAAAAAGTGAGAGGGGGTTTCACCCTTCGTTCAGCAATACATAAGTGTGGTTATGCAAACTGTTGTTATGAATTTTATATTCAGCTGACACAGCGATAAAATTGTTTAAACAATTATGAGATATATTTTCTGTACTTTCACAAAATCATGGAATATCTGGACATAACTGACAGTAACAGTAAACAGTTGTAACAACCACATGACAATACAGCAATATATTGAATGTGCATGTAATCATTATATACTAAAACTTAATGACAATGAACATTTCACGACAGGACATTTCTTTGGTACAGATTCTTCTGAAACACACTTTCTTTGAGAAGATGAAATAACTGAACACAATGGAAAGATTTGCAACTGACCACACAATCTTTGAAAAGAACTAGTACCTACTTACTGTCCACATCTATACGATCAATATGTAAAAACAACTGGAAGCTAACGACTTGGGAAAACTGTATGAAATGGATACACTGAACATTTTATTATGTGTGCATATTGTAATACATATATACTTCTTATATGTCCTACAAGTTCATCTCATTTAAGGGGAAACCTGTGAGGATGTGAGTGAGTTTGGTGTCACGCCACGTTTAGCAATATTCCAGCAATATCATGGTGAGGGACACCAGAAATGAGCTTTGCACATTGTACCCACATGGGGAGTCGAACCCAGGTCCTCAGCATGATGAGCAGATGCTTTAACCACTAGGCTACCACACCCCCCCGAAACCTGTAAGGGCACATTCAATCTAAATGTAGAGGTGTGTGAATCTGTTGGTGGGTTCTCAGTTCATAGAAATAGTTGGGTAAATATAGAGTGTTAATTTCTCATTTTTAAAAAAAAATAAGGACACATTACCTCTGACTTGAACACAGAAATGGTCCCTTTCCCTTTTTCTCCAAATTTAAAATGTTGGGTATTGTTTCAATATGCATTTTGTGATTTTAGCAAGCACTTGGGCACTTATTTAGGTGAATATGGTATTTGTATTATAAAACAGCAGGCAACCAAAATGTGATCAGCTAAGGCTGAACGGCCAACCCAAAACTCAACATAAAATATGTACCACAATAGTAGCACTAAGTAAAACAGTAAAACCGTGAACACTTTGTAACATACCATAAAATGTGCTAAAACGTTCTGAATACGTTATGTCAGTAAATGGTTGGGTTTTCTAAATGAATATGTAAAAGTTCAAGGTTATTGTTTACTGCCTCCCTTCTGTTTCTCTGTGCATCTAAACAAAACTGCAGAGTTTTTGTTACATCCTGTCTTTGAGCAAATTCATCACACTGTGACTAAAATGAACACCATTTCCTTCTGAAAACAACTACTAGGTAATACTTTCTGAGCATCATTTTATAATGACCCACTTTCTAAATTTAATCATACAACCTGCAGTCTTCAAGCTGATCTCGTGCTATGGCTATCTAGTATGGAGGGCTCATAAACAAACACATTCATTACAATTGTTCACATATAGGTTATAACATTCCTAGCTAACTCTTAAAAATCTGAATATTCTAAAAAATCTAAAAACAAATCACCTCAGTTCTTGTGAACTATTATTGTGACAAAATAAGCCCACAATGGAATAAATAGGAGACTAGCTATAGCATGATTGTGATATATATGATTTATATACTGACAACTAAAAGCATAAAGAAGCACCACTAATGATAAAAGGACACCCTCAACCAAGTGAGCCCATGTATACCCAATGTGACGACACCATTCAGGAACACGGAGGCTGCTTTCAGCAACAACATCCTGAAATGGGCGACTACAGATTACCTATTGTGGAGAACTGACCAATGGTGTGTGCGGGCTTGATCCTCTGGGCTAACAGTTCCATACAAACACTACTGAACATAAAACAAGGGGGGTAACTGCTTGTTCATGATAAACATTAAACAAAAAACTGCTCTATTATGGAAGAAGTTCCTCCAATGTATGTTTTCATTGCTGCTGCAGATCCTGCCCTATTTCAGTTAATTCATATCTGTCCCTGAACAAGGCTTTGCTTTTTCTTCTGAAACTGTTTCAGCTTTGTCTCAAATAGTTTTAATTTGGTAGTTTGATTATCTACATAACTTTCTTTAACTGTTCCATGCATGTTTCTTCCATCTTTCTTCATTTTTCTCTCACTTCTGCACTGTTGTGAGAACATTATGAGCCTCATATGACACACTGCTCAAGTGACCTCTTGATCACAGAACACCCTGTATCATGTGACCCCTTGATCACGGAACATCCTGTATCAAGTAACCCCTTGATCACAGAGCACCACATGACGTGTTCTTCAAAACACTCTGTTCACATCAAACCCACACTGAACATCAAGTGTGTGGTTGTTTGACACCAATCTGAGACCATCTTCCTATAATCTCTAACTGGTTAATAATTCTTAATCACTTCTTACACATGACCTCTTCAGTCTTGTGATCACTCTGAATTTTCCTGTAACTGATTCACTTCTTACACATGACACAAATTCATACAACTTTCACAAAACAACATAATGGTTATCCTTGAACATGTCTCTCTACAAACAGTATTTTGATCGACTCTGACCATCAGGTCTTCCTCACAGCCAATTCTATTCGGTGTTGCCTGCACACACGAGTCTATCACTGACAAATTCTTCATCAGACAACATATCTACATTACAGTCACACAGGAATTGTCACCTCACTGACAAGAAAAAGCACTGTGTAGTATCACAACTCCTGCCCAAATATGGACGCTTACTCCCATGAATCTGATGAACAGGCAGAACAGTTCCGTCCTCAAACGCAGCGTCTTGACAGTGATCAACTCCTCCGCTAATTGAACTCTGGATGAAAGTCTTTCACGAACAGATTCATTCCGGTTTATTCTTAATGCTTCAGATTGCCAGGGCTCCAGTGTCCTTGACCTCTGTGTTATTTCTGTACAAAATTGATCGCTAGGCTTCAGAAACATTTTCACTTCGACACTTGATCCACATATTTGGGAATCAATCTGAAGTTCTGGAGATTCAGATCAAATCAAAAGGATTTTTCATTAAGATTAACTTTAAAACTTCATGCTCACATGTTTAAAACTTTCATATGAAACAATTTGACTAAATGCAATTAGTGGGTCAACTCCTTTAACGCACAAGGCAAATATAAACTTTTATAGTCTATCACTTTTAAAAGCAAACTTGGTATAAATATAAAGGAAAGGAAAGTTAAGAATAAACACATTAAACTGGTATATATAACTGTCTTACAACACAAAATGTTGTTACACATAACTGTTACACAACTGCATACTGTTGTTCGATAAAACTGTCATACAACTGCCAACTGTTTTATGTGTAAATGTTACACAACTGCATACTGTTATTGGATATAACTCTTATACAACTGCATATTGTTTTCAAATACAACCGTTATACAACTGTTTTCACACACAAGCTGTATTTCTTGCTCTTCATCCAGTCAAGGGTATTTCTATCTCGTGCAACTACTTGCAGTTATAAACATGCATTTGTAAATACACAAATTAGTATGATTCAGTACAAATTAATAATCAAACAGATTTGATTGGAATTCCGAGTTATTGAGGTTCAAATATGCTGCTGAAAGTTCTGTCGAACTGGAATCTCTCTCACACCATTTACCAAAATAGTTCACAACTTCATCCATTCAACTACTTCCATCCCATCCTAGATCATCTATCCTATTTCCACCTTCCCCTCCTTCATAGTTCATCCATGCTATTTCAATCTTTGATCCCATCCACATTCACCCACCAAACCTTTTCAGTCTTACACCACAATCTTGTTCGTCCACCCCATTGATCCCACCCCTCCCAAAACAGTTCATATAAAAGGCATATGTTAAACTGAATCTACCCTCTCATATAAAAACATATCCACCCCTTCATATATATATATATATATATGCCTGACCCCCCAAAAATAGATCCCATCCCAAAGTTCCACCCAACCTTCTTTCTAGTTTCTTCCCTTCTATTCTTGTATTTGCCAAACATATTACTAGTTTACACGAATCACTACATTTAGGCCAACCTTCTGTTCTATATACATCTAATTGTATGCCCAACCCTCAAATAACAGATCCCCACACCCCAGCCCTACCCTATTTCATGACCCCTGCTATATCTGGTTGTAGGCTGGGGGTGGAGCAGTGGGCTGTGTGGTGATGGGAGCACCTGGCGCCCCTGGGGGAGGTAAAAATCCTGAGGGCATGCCCGGCGTTTGGGAGGTGGGGTTCCAGGTGTAGTAGGGGTACGATGGAGCCCATGCAGACAGGCCGCTTGTGTGAGCATCGTCATTCTCGTCTCGAATCTCAGTACGACCAAACACACTTTCTTCATATGATGGAGGGGCTGAAACAGAGTTTTGCCAAAGTTGATGTCATGAAATAAACAGTCAACCATCTTGGGCTTTCTCCTGAATTTCAAACAAAATTTTAGAATTATTGAGTGAATGTAAATTGTATGTGCACATGCAATAAAGATGACTTCAGGAACAACAGTGTAAGAGGTTAGGGGCACGATAAGATGTACTTACGTTCACAGTAGGGCGGTGGCTGATCCATTGTGGGTGGAGCTGAAGGCACGGAGGGGCCGAGGGCAGGAGTGTAACCAGGTACTGCCTGTGGTTGATGTAGAGGTATGGTACCAATGATGATTCCTCGCTCTATTGTCAGAGTGTTCCACCCCAAATGAACCTTCAGCTGATGACAGAAAACACAACTGTTAGCAACCACTGTCCTAACATCACAAGATTACCTGGTGAGTTTTTTTTCTTGACTTAGAATTAGTAGATGATAGCTACCAAAACGTGATCAACATGATTACTCAACAATAAAACAAGAAGCCATGTTCATCAGTATCCCCCACCACAGTGTTCTGTTCCTATTTGGGTCCATCAAGACATCCATGTCCTGAAAACACATACCACATTTGGTTTCCCTATCTATAACGCTTTCAGAGAAAACCCCATTGGAGACACCATGCACCAAGTCAAGAAACGTATGACAAGGGCCATAACTCTGTAACAAATTGTAACACGGTTTCTGTTTACGAACTCCATCAAGATATTCACGTCCTGAAAACACATACTAAATTTGGTTTTCCTATCTACAACAGTGTTTGAGAAAATCTGTCCCCATCATCTCGGACGGATAATACTATAGTACTGTCGGAAATAGAAAAAAACTGTTTTAGGCTGTTACTCTGTATCCCTAAAATTGACACAATTGCAAATAGCATATGTCGAAATAACCCACTTCCGCCTAACTGGGCGTTCAGTGGGATGCGTAATACGATATCCAGAAAAGCATGTTTACTAGTAAAATCAGGCAAAACTTAGAAAAAAATATGAATAGCTGCTGAAAACAATAGATCAGACTATAGATGGCAATTAGGTCGCTCAGCCAGGTATGATGACGGACCGTCGACTCACCTGGCATGAAATGCACGTGCTGCTTACAGGCACAAGGGGTCATCTCAAAGATATTTTGTGCTTTTTCATGTGTGTTGACTATGTCTCATCTACTGATTAACATCTTACGTGTCTTTCTTTCATAAAGTTTAGGTTGAGATATGTAAGAGAGTATGATACCGAAAACCATAGAAACGATCGAGTATATAGGTGGCATGACCACCCGAAGATCGACAGGACTGGATATTATTTGTAAATTGTTATGACGTGCCGAGTACCTCCCCAGTATAATTGCCCTAAAGGATTATCTTATCTTAGCTGATATCTCTATCCCCAAGCCCGGCCCCAGGTTTTGCTTTTGAGGCGACCCCTCCTATCTGTTTCTTTTTATAGTGACAGTGAGACTGCATGGTAGCTACATCTTTAATAGTTTCGGCATAAAAGTTATTATTTTTTACGTCAGCTATCGTTTATAATGAATCTACGTCTAATTTCAAATTGGGCATTTAAAAAGTGTCCTTTGTAATACAATATCGTTGCACACTAATTTGCATAAAGCCATGGTCTGTTCCAAAGAAGTCTTTTTGGACTTACAAAAACGCATTGCTCATTTCTGAACTAATTTCCCCTCAGTAAAGTCCTTTTTCTCCGTTTCCTATCTCTCTACCACTGAGACTGTAGTTAGGCCGAACTTTGTTTAACAGCTATTTCACACTTTCACATATCAACTACATAAATTGTAGAGATAAATGAGAAAATACAGGTTTTTTTTATTTCCGACAGTACTATAGTAACATTTCAGATTGTTTCATATCTTTAGGACGCAGACTGATCATTCTAAAAAAAAATCCCAAAATTCTTCTGCAAAATGATATCCTATAAAAAGAATTGAAAAACAGGGCATTTATTTAGAACGTGCTAATTGTATCCATCTTAAGCAAAATGACATGATCAGTTTGACAGAACGTCATCAGATTTGTAAAAAACACATAAATTATAGCTATTGGGTTATTCACAGCCTCAAAGTTAGTTAATGAAAAAGCAAGTAACAATGTTAAAATCTTACAGCAATAATGTACTGAATATCAATGATGCCACATCCTTCCAGGCCTGACGGGGGTAGAGCGGGAATAATGCCTCCCCTGTTGATGTGCTCCTCCATGTTCTGTTTGATACGGCAGGGGTGGGAAAGGAGATCAAACTGGTCCAGTTTGGTGTGCTGCTTCGGGTTGCCCGAGGAAAAGATACTGTCAGAGAATCCTGTGTATGTCACAATCTGAAACATGATATACTATTGGAGAATCCTGTGTGACAATCCTAAACGTGATATTCCATCAAAAATTCCTATAAACATGCTACACTATCACAGAATCCTGTGGATGTCACACTCCAAAACATTGTCAAAGAATCTTGTACTTGACATCTGGAACAAGATGTACTATCAGAGAATGTGGTATCCTGCTTGATTCAAGCCTCTTGTTTTTGCAGTGTCCATATATAACTGTGTTGCATGAATATAATTAGATTTCAGAGTGTAACTGACAAAATTTAACGTAAACACAAAACATGATAAGAAAGAAAAGTCGAAATGAAAACTTTTTGTCATGGTTAAGACTGATACTTAATCATAAACGTCTTTTCATAAAGAGAAATATTTTCGATTCTAAACAGCTTTACTACACACAAAGATTCCTTTGCAGAGCAGTGCAGTGATGAAGTTTAGAAAAGTATCCTTTTCAAAACTGAAAATTTCATTCGGTTTTGATGCTTGGTTCACATTCACTTGCCACCAGGAAGCATAAGACAACACTTGCTCACAAGACTTACGGACCTGTCGAAGTTCTAGTTCTATCCTCTCCACGTTGGAGTCAGACTTGTTGTACACATCCACGGTAAACACAATGGGTTCCCCTGGAACGTAGCCTGTCTTGTTGAGCAAAAGCCTCCCTGTCACGACCCCGGACGAGCAGCAGCAAGACTCGACAGTCTGTTCCTGCTCACCCTCAATTGGCATCTGAAACAACAGTATACAAATACAGATGTACCTTTGTCTGGCGAAGGTATAACGATCTATACTGAACAGCTAGAGTATCACCTGTTATCTTGTGATATGACATGTATCACGCCTTGGATTGATGATACCACTGGTATCAAGATACACCACAACAAATAGTTAAAAAAGATCAAATATATTAAATACAACTGTAACATCTCATGCTACATAGATATTTTGTATACCATTTCATAGTAAAATCTTTTGAGCCATAAAAAACAAAAAGCAAAACAATTATAAAAGAAGGGATGTTACCAACTGTAATTGTTAGTGTTTCGCCATGCTTACTATTGGCATTATGCTACTTCTGTCATTATGGACAGTGACTTTCTGTTCTACTTACATTGTACCGTGATCTCAAAACTGACAACTCAAATATCTGTACCTAAGTACAGTGAAACCTGTCTAAACCGGCACCCCACAGAACTGAGAGAAAATGACGGTTTAGACACGGTGCCGGATTGGACAGTCACGATCATTTTCTAAAATGGCTGCCATTTACAAGCGTTTGATTCAGCGTGCAATCACTACTTCTTGATTATCTAGCGTGCCAAGAGGATTAATTAGTGTATTCGCATATGGGTCCTTGATTGGACTGCTCATACCCATGCCGGTTTACACAGTGTTAATTACAGTTAAAATTGCTTGCTGGGACCGGAAAGTCGTGCCGGAATACGAAATAGACAGGTGCCGTATTAGACAATGTTTTAATGGTCATAATATCGTTGTAAAATGGTGGGACCGGATTAGACAGGTGCCGGTGTTGGCAGGTTTCACTGTATTCACAATGTCGATTACAGCCCTATAAACATGAACATATTAGTACATATTATAAAACTCCTTTAGACGTCAGAATACTTATCTTCATGACATCATGTAGACAAATTGTCAACTGAGGGAAGGCGATACACAGAAAGACAACTACGTCACATACAAAGTTCCTTCAATTTGTGATACCATTAGTTCCGTATCTGTGGTATAATGACATAAATAACCTTTAAAACTTTAAACTTTCAAACATACCATTTTTAACATTTCTCTAAATACAATACCGGGTACATTAGATAAGCAGGTCAGTACATTCGGATAAATGCAATGAGATCCTATTTGCAGGTAACCAACCACTTACGGATGCATTACTGATGAAATTGAGATCAAGATGATGAATGACTGTGAATGGCCTCTTGGTGTGCTCATCAAACTTCCAGGGTCGGTCTATGGTTGCTCTACAGAAGTAGCGCACGTAGCCACGGCGGCCCTCGAAGGATGACGGGAGCGTGGGCTGTAGGGCCAGGGAGAAGGGGTATTTGTGTAGGCCTGCGGGGTGCTCCACTGATGCCTGACCTGGGAGAGAAGACAAGTCTGTCAGCATGTAATATATTAGTATGGCTTGTCTGTTGGTTGCTTTAGGCTACAGTCAGGAATGTTCCAGTTGTTTGACAATTGTCTCCTAATCAGGCCTGTTGATACGCAACTTGGATAGTTAGAAAGTTCATTAAGAATATGTCCATTGTCTCTGTCATTTGCAAGCAGGTGAAGTTGACCACCTATGTCAGAAGGAATGAATGACTAAATCCACTTTCAGTGAGTGAGTTGGATTTTACGCCGCTTTTAGCAATATTCCAGCAATATCACGGCAAGGGACACCAGAACTGGGCTTCACACATTGTGCCCATGTGGGGAATCGAACCTGGGTCTTCGGTATGACGAGCGTACACTTTAACCACAAGGCTACCTCACCCGCCCCTTCCCCACTTTGAGGTGGTAAGACATGATGAGATCTCATGTTATGAACCCTTTGTTGTACGAAATCCAGTTACCAGAGGTATCAAACTTTTGTTGAGCCATGCAACAGATATACATATATTTCCCATCATGCACTCTTGGTTCAAAGATGGCTGCACCCATAGTGAAACCAACCATCAATATCAATCTAAAACTTCAATGTGATAAACTGACGCATGCATCTGTGCACAAATGTGCATGATGTTATCAAAATCTGTGATGTTTCCACCTTGAATTGTAATCCATGTTTTTAAATCAACATGCGCAGTAACTACAAAGAACCTGTCGAAAAGTAAACAGGGGGTTCAAAGCAACTATAGCTCTATGATTGTAAACCAAGGGTATGGGAAAGTTACAATCACCTTAGTGCTAAATTCGCTTTGAACAATGATATGATGATGCAGATATCATACCATACATATCAATATAGTTTGTTCAGGTACATGTCTTACCTGTTCCATACAGCTTGATCTGATGTTGGATGTAGCCTTCGTTCCCCCGGTAGTCTGTCTTTGTCCGACCATGTTTCACCTCCCAGTGGGCCTTGGCACGGCCCTCGAAGTAGATGACGATACCTGAAACAATTGTTGAACAGATGAATTCTTACACCCTGTTTCTCAGGACGATATGGTAGTCCTTACAGATATATTGAACTGAAAGTAGTGTGTCAATCTGTGTCAGCAAATGTTAATGTCTTGGTTCCAGTTTTACAGAGCAATCTCTGCACTGCAGCAATAATATATCCTCACTTCAACATATTCCTGATTATCAGAGTAAAAAAACTAAAGTATACACGCACACTTATGCATGTGCACGCACGCAACCCAAACCCCCCCCCACACACTGGACATTTTGCTACCATAACATGAGCTTTCTTGTCACTTGGGTTCATAAAGATTATGATCCATCAACTTTAATGCCTTTTTAAGGGCTTTTCAAGTCCAAATCAACAATTTTAGGGAGCTACAGAAACATATACTCATGGAAACGAATAAGGGAACACATGAAAGTACAAGTGTTCCTTTATTCTTTTCCAGGTTTCTTCACAAGGTATGTATTGCACTGTGGGTGAAATTCTGGAAATAAATAAAGGAACACGTGTCCTTTTATGGGTTCCCATATTTGTTCCCAATGTGAAAGGGGAAGAACGGCGTTATGCTACAAGAACTTTGTCAGCACTAGTCATGCTACAAGTTTCTATCATGAAAGAACTGTAAAATGTATACAAATCTGTAGAGGTTATGAATTCTTTGAAGAAAGTCCTCCTTGGGGTACATATAAGCATTAGACTGACTCCCAAAGACAAAGGAGCCGGGAGTGGTATTCTGTCTGACAAAGTGATCCATAGATAGTAATAACAACGATCCATAGATAGTAATAACAACGTACTGAAATGGAGAAAATTACACTCACCTAGTCACCTGACCGCTGATGTCAATCAAGGCGTGGGGCGTGACTAAGGCGTGGACCCCTACTGTCATAGCCTATATGCCGATTGGCTGATCGGATATTATATCACCAGTCAAACCCTACCCCCCGACCTAAGTTACGGAGGGGTGTAAAAACCAGGAACTCGCCAAACCAAACTACTGTCCATAGCGCACAGCTCGCCAAGGGTGTGGGGGAGGGATAAGCCCTTGTGTATGTAAGACATACAGATGACAGACACAATCCACCTTGACAAGGTTTGTGTATTTGCCGGATGACCAGCCTTGCCACCGCTGTAGCAGCAGAATAACTGTTTATCCTTATGGATGGACACCGTTCTCTTAATATACTACGCTTTTAAGGTCTTGCGGACGTCTAACACATGAACCTTACGGTTAGTGTTACCAAACAACGCAGGAAGCGTGAAGGCGGGAAGATCTATGGGTGCCGTAATATGAAACGCACTATCGATCTTAGGGCTGTAAGAATCTGGTAAGCGGATACTTTCACGATCCTTATGAAACACGGTAAGCTGGAGAGGACTGGACATCCAATCTAAAACGAAAGACAAGTCCCATGTGGGACTGAACCGACGGACGACCGGACACAGTCTGTCCACGCCTGCTAGGAAGCGCTGCACCAGAGGGTGTTGCCCTAACAGGGCACCCTCGATGGGAATGTGGAAGGCTGAAATAGCCGTGGAGTAGCCTCGGATAGTAGATGCAGCTAAGCCGGACTCTAACCGAAACTGTAAAAACTCCAAACTGTAAAACTCCAACAGTTTGGTTTCGCCGCTTTTAGCTCAGCACTACAGTACAAGAAAAGGGCTGAGTTTGGTTTTAAGCCGCTTTTAGCAATATTCTAGCAATATCACGGCGGGGGACACCAGAAATGGGCTTCACTCATTGTACCCATGTGGGGATTTGAACCCGGGTCTTCGGCGTGACAAGCCAACACTTTAACCACTAGACTACCCCACCGCCCCCGAAGAAAAGGGATATAGAATCCCTCTGTTTCCACACCAGCACGCATAACAGGCCCACCTATCCTCATACTGTACGTTAGTCGAATCACTCCGCGAAGCCAGAATTGTGTCTGCAACTGGTGCAGGAATTCCGCTCGCTTGGAGGCTTTTCGGACAGAGGCCAAGCCACCCACTGAATCCTGGGATTCGGGTGTGGCGCGCCTTCCTCGGATAGGTCCGGTCGCATTGGTAATAGTACAGGAGGCTGGACGAGCGACCTGAGTATTACTGGAAACCACCGCTGAGACGAGCACAAAGATGCAAGAAGCACTAGTAGTCAGGCTGGTTGGGTGGCTAGCTGCGAGAGGACCCTGGAGATCAGCGGTATCGATGGGAAGGCCCACAGAACCCTGTCTGTCCAATTGAGCTGGAAGGCATCGGAGGCGATTGCTCTCGGAGTCTGGTTCGTCACCCCAGAGGCAAACAGATCCACCTTGAATGACCCGAACAACTGGGAGATAATCCTGAATATCTCCCGGTCGAGTAACCACTCGTGAGGGGCTACAATACGACGTGAGAGCGCATCTGAACGAACATTGTCCACCCTGTGGCGATAAACATGCACAACCCATATGCTGAACTGATCGCACCACAGTAGAAACTGCCACGCCTCCTAAAAGGAGTGACGGAGATACCGTACCGCCCTGCTTCAGGATATAGGACATCGCCGTTTGGTTATCAATTTCTAGATGAAACGCACGGTTCCGAACCTGATCCAGGAAGCGTTCGAACACCAACCGGACTGCTCTCAATTCCAGCACATTGATGTGCAGGGTCGCCTCGTTCAAGGACCAAAGGCCTGAAGCTGTGAGGTCGCCCAGGACACCCCCCCACCCTGTGAGGGAGGCATCCGTCTGAATTGTGAGCATCAGCACCGGGGTCTCCAACCGTAAACCCTTGGATAGATTCCCGGTGTCGATCAACAACCGTAAGTGAGGAATAAGCCACTCCGGAGTTACCAGAATCTTCTCTTTACTCTCTGAGTGAGACCACAGCTGCGCTAGCGCTTGCTGAACAGGTCGCATCCTCAGGCGTGCACGCCAAACTATGTCCACTGTCGCCGCCATGTTGCCTAGTAACTGAAGCCAATTTCGAGCTGAGGCCCTGGGGGACTGGAGGAATTGAAACACAATCCCCTGGACTTTGGAATGCGGTCCCGAGTCAGAGAGACTATGCCCTGTTTAGTCTCAAATCTCGCCCCCAAGAAAACCAGATCCTGGGTGGGAACCAGTTCTGATTTCTTGAGGTTGATAATCCAACCCAACTTGTTGAGAGTATCCATCACTGACTGTGTGGAATCTCAACTCAAGTGGGTAGCGAGTGCCCTGAGAAGCCAGTCGTCCAGGTACGGGTAACAAAAGTTGCCCTGTACCCTGGAAACCTGAGCTGGCACTAGCATGAGTTTGGTGAACACCCTTGGCGCCGTGGAGATGCTGAAGGGGAGCACACGAAACTGATAGCACTTCCCGTGAAAGGAAAACCGGAGGTATTTCCAAAACTCGGGGTGCATCGGTACATGGAGGTATGCGTCTTTGAGGTCGATTGACGTGAGCCAATCCCCTGCCTCTACAGATGAGATCACTGAACGCAGTGTCTCCATCTTGAAAGACGGCACTTCTATTAAATCGTTCAGACCCCTGAGATTGAGAATGGGTCTGAACCCTCCGTCCTTTTTGGTGACCAGGAAATAAGAGGCCAGACTTTCCTGGCCCACCGGAACCATTTCGATGGCTGCCTTGTCCAGCAACGACTGGACCTCGGCACGGAGTATATCCGCCTTCTCCTGAGAGTTTGGCACCAGAGTGCAACAAATCCCGGAGAAAGGAGGAGGGCCTCGCTTCCACAGCGGTATGTGGCCATCCCTGAGTGTGAACAGGACCCAGGAATTTGAGGTGACTTTCTCCCATTCCCGAAGGAAGAGAGTCAGTCAGCCGCCGACAGGGACGTCGGGTAACAGGCAGTCAATGCCGATGGTCGGCAGTGTAGCAACTGCTTGCGCCAAGACCACCAAGGGCTCCAGAGTATAGCTTACTGGGAAGCCGGGGCCGAAGTTCAGGCCAGACACGGCTGAACCAGCAGGGAGGTAGTACCCGTCCCGGAGCCTAGGCCCGAGGTAGGGTGCAACCGGAAGACGACCCCAGCCCGCCACTCAACCCCGAATGGACACCATCTCCTGCCGGACACCGGACATCACATCCGTGATCAGTGAACATACTGAAGTCATCTGCTGCTGCAAGGGGAAGAGGAAGAGGGGGTTTTATCCACCGACTTGGCCCGCTTACCGCCAACATTATTACCCACCATGGAAGCACCCTTTTTGCCTGTAGATATTTTGGAGGGCGGGTCCAACGCTCAAAAGGCAGCCTAGCATATGGTAAACATATACACACAAACATCCAAGCTGTGCAGGCACCAAGCCTCACACATGCTAGGGACGAATGTAAGCCACATGGTCCGCCATCTTGCCTGCCATAAGGCTGGAGATGGGAACCGACCGGCAAAGTTACAACAATTTATAAATGAAAAAATCAGCCTCTAAATTCCATCTAGCACCCGTGCACAACATGCGGAAGAATGTAATTTTTGGAGTAAAATTGATATTTTATACTTATCCTGACTCATGCTCTTTTTGCTTGATTTTTAATAATTAGTGATTTGAACTGTGATGATTGTAATAACCCTATGGGAACTTCATAAAGGCACTGAACTGATGAATTCCTGCTGCTAACTTATCAGCTGCCATATAAAAGGTTATTACCATGTACTTATTATGATAAAGTATATATAACATTAATACAATGCTTAAGACTAATAGACTTAAGCTTGTTAATATGCTAGTATAAACTCCTTAGAGTTTGTTAGCTAAAATACTTTAAGATATAACATAGTACTAAGCTTAAGATATGATTAAACTTAAGCTAATTATATAATAGCAAACTCTTTAGAGTTTGTTAGTTAATATACTTATATGATATAGATATAATGCTGAGCTTAAGATATGAATAAGCTTTAGCTACATATATAATAGCAAAAACTCTGTAGAGTTTGTTAGCTAATATATTTTTATAATATGAGTATAGTACTGTGCTTAAGCTATAATTAACTTAAGCTACATATATAATA